CCACCCCAGACCAAAGCCAAAGACACTGGGAACTCCAAATCCCATCACCACCAAAGGGAAGGTGGCTGGGACCTGAGGGTGGGGTTAAGCAGCCAGGTTGATATAAAAGGCAGATACGTGGGCTTTGGGGGATCCCCATTTTGGCTCTCTGCCAGCAGGATCCGGCCAGCGACTTTGGGTTTCCAGGTCATTGGATCGATCGGTAGGAGGCATTAAAGACTTTATTTCCCTATTTTCTCCCTGAGTTGTACATTTTCCTTATTTCCTTTTCCCTTGTAAATAAACCTTTTATTAACCTTTTGTGTGTGCCTGTAGTGGAGTATTCTTAAGTCCCTTTTAAGCGCGCGGGTGAGGACCCACAGCCAGGAACCCGTTCAATATCGGGGCTGCTCTATTAACAGCTAGAGTGCTTTATAGCACTCAGCTAACTCAGCTTATTAGAAAAAATTAATAACTAAGATCCTCAATCAACAAGTCTTTAGTCAAATTTTATTCTCCAGTAAAATTGGTATTATATTATTAATAATATTCCCAAAGTTAGAATGGCATCACTCTACTAAATACAAAGTTACTTCCCTCCAAAAATATTTATTCTCTCAAAACTTTCATTAATAATCCTTATTTTCCTTAACCTCATTTTCTTTTCCATAAATAAACAACTTCTCATCAAAACAGCCCAGGGTCTCTCTTCTCTTTCTGACGTGTTTTTCCTAATATACCTTTAAAGCCTCTTCTCAGAAAGAAAAGCTTCTGCATGGCAAAACCACCAAATACATGAGAAAATACAATCAGGAAGTATTTTCTTATGCAAGCTGAAAACTTTTTAAGATATGAAAATAATTAATAGTAATTAAACTGTCCTGGTAACATAACAGTATCTTAACCTGAGGAGAATCAAAGTAATTTCCCATTATGGCCCATGTTGGCAGCAAAAAGATGATTGTTTTGTTTTTTTTTTTAAGATTTATTTTTATTTATTTATGCATACAAGTACTGGGGTTTAGGCCAGAGGTGCAGGGGGTGAGAGCATTCACCAGAGACAGTGAGGAGCAGAACAGGAAGATGTACTGAAATACACTGCTGAGGGGAGCGGCGGGCAAGTCAGGAGAGGTCTGCTGCACCCTGTGGGTTAGCTCCCAGGCCAAGGATCAAACTCACACAGCAGTGGCAAGGGATTGTGTGATAACATTGAGACTTTAACCTCTGTACCACAAGGGAGGCCCAAAGACGGTTGTTTTTAATGGCACCTATATTTAACCTTTATGATAATACCTTCTAAATGACTATGTTAGTAATATATTAGGACTTACAGCAATATATTATGTTTACACTAGTCAATGAAATCGAGTTATATAGGTGAGGGGATAAATTCTTTTTTATATCAGGCACACTCCAAAAGAGCAGAAATGACATCTCTTGCTCACTTCTATCAACATATTCTTAGCACTTACAGAAAGCTCAATAAATACATGTCCAAGTTTAAATGTTTATTTAAGGAAAAGAAAATGAGGATGAGAGAAAAAAAATACATGAATTAAAATCAGCTTAAGGCCTTGAACATGGGCTGTGCTTAGTGACTTGCTTCCAAAGAATAAAATCCAAAGAGTAAAGTGTGGGAGAGTAGCAGTGAAACCTGGTAGACAAATACCTTAAGTAAGTGATCAAAGTTAACATCATCAATTTTATCATATTGTTAGTATGTACCCTTGAAATAAAGTGATGAGAAGGGCACTTCACCTTTGTTGCCTTCCTCTCAGAAACCCATGACCCCAGTATAATCAAGAGGAAAATCCTAGAGAAATCTCAATTGAGGAACTGTCATCTCCAAAAATAAGGAAAAGACCGAGAAACTGGAATTATGGAACAGAAATAGGACATTAGGAAATGCCAGTGAAATTAGAATAAACTGCATAGTTTAGTTAATCATAGTAATACAGCAATTTTGTTTCCTTAGTGTGACCAATGTACTATAGTAACCTTATTACTATAGTAATTTTGCAACTTTTCTGTAAATATGAAACTAGTCTAAAATAAAAATTTTAGTTAGGGCAAGGGAAATAAGGAACATGAAATCAAAATCCCTGGGCAGTGAATAATGATAAACATTGTTTTGGTCTTTATATTTAGCAATAAGACAGATAGGATTCTCATATAGTGAAAATAAAGTTATTAACAAAATACCATAGTCATTTTATAAGTCTATCGTATTATGAAGTTACATATGATCAAAGCAAATACCCCTTGAATTCTAGTTTCCCAGAGCATCATTCTTATTCAAGAATGAAGGCAAAACTTCATTAACTTTCACAAACTCTTTATATTACCTGCCATCTCTATATTGATGAGTTATCCCAGTAACTCTAGTCTCTAGTCTAAAAACCACATTCACTCTTGATATTTCCTACTCTTATACTCAGCTAATAAAACATCTTCTTGATAATGCTCCCCGGGCAAATCTCCTCACTAATCTTTTCAACACATTCTCCTTCTCATGCCCACAGTTAATAATTAGTCCTGTACAATGCAGTCAAATGAACCTTCTTCAAATAAAAGATTTTATCATATCATTTGCAGGCTCAAATGCCATCTTTTTTTCTCTTTTAACTAAGCCATATTTAAATTTAGAAGTGATGTGTCAAGGTCATACACAATTGGTTGTTTTTTGGTATCCTTCCATTGTAAAGACAGACCTTTCCATCCATTTCTCCGCCTCATGGCATAAGTCCTGCCTTTCCTTTACTCAGAAAAATAATCAAATACTTTGCATATAACGTGTCTGAAAAAATAAGACTCCTCTGGGTCTTTATAATCCACTTGGGGTGATAAATTCTAAAAAGAAAACAAGTAAAAGAAAACTAAAAAGAAAACAAGTACCATATTATGGTAATTTATCTTACTGAATACTTTATCTTCAATTCCCACAACAGTGTCTGGCACATGGTATTTGCTCAAAACATATTAAATGAAAACTAAGCAGGATAGAATGCTGCTGGCTCAGAAGGCAAAGAACTTTCTTTCAGTTGGAGGGATGAGGGCAGCTCTAAAGTTCTTTGACTTTAAGGCACGTGGGGTTACCAAGATTTCAGCCAAATCTCAAGCTTGAGAAGATTGTGAGCAGTTAAAAGAATGTGTGCAGGTCCATTTTCAACAGGAAAAAAGTTATATTAGCAAAGATAAAATGAAATAAAATTCCTACCTCATGTTAATGTAGTGAATAATGAGCAGTTCCTGTACATTGTGGAAGATGGTAGAAGACTGAGACCAGTTTTAAAAGTCTTGGGAAAAAAGTTGATATGCATGCTTGATAGAAAGGTTTTGGTCATTAGAGTGATATCATCTACAGGAAGATTAATCTAATGGGAGTAGTAAAGGTTAGCAAGAGCCTTACTTCCTCTGAGAAGCCTTTCTTCTCTACTCAAATCCTCTAGTTTCCTTCTCATCTTAATTTTAACAGCAGCACCTACCTGCATCAGTTTACATAAATCCTCTCACATTGTAACCTAGTCTCGTTCAACCTAAGAAGTGTGATCAAATCTTGAACCTCTTTTTCTTCCCTAAGAAATCAGCAAAGCATTGAGTCACAGAAACTTTACTTTTGGATTTTGGAGGACCTTTTGCATTTATGCAAAACCCAGTTACTGAAATGACAATGACTATCTAAGAGTAACACACACACATCCCACGAGTAATTAAGCAATAAGCTGCCACAAAAGAAGATTAAGTCCTGTTTGGATGCCACTTGCTAAAGTTTTGTTGGATATTTGGGTCTCATAACTAGAAGTAGAGTCAACTTCAAAGCTATGTTTTCAGTGCTTCCTGCTTTATTTAAGTATTTCACCACTTCACTTACTTTTCTTTCTCAACTCCACTTGTCATTGGTCAGCACCTAGTCGTTTCTCAACTGCATTCTCTTTTTTTTTACACTGAAGTCTCTCCAATCTTTTTTTCTATTTAACTCCATTGACTGAGAACCATTATGGAATAATTACAATTCTAATAAATTCTCTACACAATTCTCTTACAAGTTTCTAAATATTTCCTGTGGTGTAGCACTCCAAGTAAAACTGATTCAAATAAAAACATGTTACAGAAATAATTCAAATCAACGAAAGCATTCAAAAAATGAAACATGATGCATTAGTAAACAAACAGTACTTAAATTCTAAAAATTTCCAAACTCTCCATCAGTCCAGAAGATTTTATCTTCAACCCTTTCTTACTTTTACATATTCTATAAATTAAACTTCACCCTCTGAAAATAAAATCTGCTCATGTTAACATTTATATTAACTGTTAATACTCCCCCCCCAAAATTAAGAGCGTTTATACACATAAATCAAAGAAGTATCAATTTCAGTCTTAAAGAAGTATTTTTCACTGCAAATACATCTTATCAGGTCACAATTCTATGTAAAACACAAAAAGGGAGATTTTTGTAAAATGAAATGAAATGAAAAATGAAATCCTCCAGAATATGACTGATTCTGATTACATTAGAATCTGTCACTAACAACTTTGAAATACAAGCGAGTTTTTCTAGATTTGGGAAACTCCAAAATATACTATTCGAGTCCCTATCATTCCTCAATGTACCTAATATTCCTGAGATTTTAAAGATGAATCACCAAAACGGGAGAGGAAGGCAAAATGTCAATATGTAACTTACAAGAACTGCAAGGCAACAGAAATAAACCTCACAATTGGGACAGAACAGTTCAGCTTATTCCACATGTCTACCCCGGAAAACACAACATAAATGTATGCCCTTAGATCCACAGCAAGGTTACAAAGCTGTTGGCCACCAGTAAAAACTCAGCCCGAGTGCCACTAGGGCAACTCTACCACACTGGGCCGGCCACGTGGCTGTCACAATCAGAAGCCGGGAGAAACAGCATAAAGTAACCTGGAAATAAATAACTGTCCTCCTCCCCCCGCCTCGAGGTCGGGTGTAAGAAACTCTTAGTCATTTCTTTGCACACTAACACTTTTTTTCCTAAAAGGAGAAAACGAAGTACAGGGGCTGTCTTAAAGAGCTTTTAAAGCAGCAATCAGACCCAAGGCGATCCCCAACAGCGTGCCCCAAAGGGTTAGACACCCCAACTCCCGCGAACTGCGGGGGGAACACGGGCTTTCTGCAAAGGGGTGGAGTTGAGCAAGAGTGGAGCGCGCAGCACTCTGCACACGGGGCGCTTTCCCCGGCCCGTCCCCGTCTCCGGGGTTCCGGACGGGCTGTCGCTGCGAGACGGCGAACTCCGGAGGCCGGCGGGCCTCGCGCGCCCCCAGCACCTCTCACCTCCTCGGCGGCGAAGCCTGGAGCGCAGCGGCAGCCCCCGTCCCGGGAGGCTGCACGCCGGAACGCCGACTCCCACCCACGACAGCCACCCTCGGGGGCCCCGGGCCGCGGGCGGAGGAGGGGCCGGCGGGTGCGGGGACCCGCCACCCCTACATCCGGGACCCGCCCCCGTCCACCCGCCGCCCGAAGTTCACTCCCGGCCGCGCCGGGCGCCTCCCCGGGCGCCACACGGCGGGCCCAGCCGGGCCGCCCCGGGCCGGGGCCGGACTCCACGCCCCGCACGGCTCGCTCCGCTTCGAGCCCGGGGAGGGGGCGTCGCGAAGACTCCGAGAGGCGCGGAGCGCTTCCCCTCACGGCGGAGTCGCCCCGCGGCGAGCCCCCCGGCCGCCGGGCCACCCCCGAGCCTCCCCGGAGAGCCGCAGCCGCGCCGGGGCCGCCGCGCGACCCCGCCCCCGGGCGGGCAGCACCCCTCGGGGGAAACTAACTCCTCACGCGGCCGCGCTCCCTCAGCTCGACACCCCCCGGGAGCCCACACACGCCCGGGCCGCGCGCAGGGGACGCCCCCGCGCCGGCGCCAATTCCTCACAGGACAAAAATGTCCGGGCGCGTCACGGGACAGTCGCGTCCGCGCCCCACGCGGGTCCGGCAGCGCGCGCCGCCTCAGCGCCCGGGAGCGGCCCCGCGGGCCAGGGCGGGAGCACCGGCGCCGGCCGCGCAGGGCGCCGCTCCGCCCGGGACTCACCGTCAGCTCGGCCGCGCAGCGGAGAGGAGAGGGACGGCCCAAGGAAGACACAATATGGCAGAGCACCGCAGCTGCTCCGGGCGGCTTCCAGCAGTCGCCTCCGGGAAGACGCGGCAACGAGCAGGCAGCGGCAGCTGCGGTGGCGGCCGCGGCAGCACCACATCCCCCCTCCCGCTCGCTTCCTCCCCCTCCCTCCGCCCCCCGCTGCCATGGCAACGCGGCGCCAAGGAGATTAACCCCGCCCCTCCTTCCAGTCCCCGCCTCCGGCGACCCCTCCTGAGGAAGAAAAAGAGCACGGCCCGCCCCGCCCGGTCCCCTTCCACCTCCTACCGGAGGGCCGGGCCCGGAATCCGGCAGACTGCCCGGGACCGTGGTGGGTGAAAAGGCGGGGGCGTGAGGCGGGGGGAGGGGAGTAAGACGAAGTCCGGAAGGGCGGGGCCCGCACGGAAGGCCGGGCGGAGACGTTGTGGGATAGTGCAGGTTTCGGGCTGAGGAGGAGCTGGGGAAGGCGGGAAACTGGAAAGGCCTCGCCTGGCTCGGGCGGGCCTATAGGAGTGCGGCGAGGCGCGGCGCGGCCGCTGAGTGGTCGGGGCGGCGCGGGGCGGGGCGGCGCGGGCGGGGCGCGGTGAGGAGAGTCGCCGGACGGCCGGCTGGCTGTGTCAGCGCTCTTGACACCGGCTGCGCCCTGACAGCGCGAGTTTCTGAGGGTGTCCCCGAGAGTGTTCCGCCATTGGCCAGGCTTTTAGAGCGTTTTGGGAACGGTGAAGCATCAGTGTAAAGTAAAAGTAGTATTACCCTCGCCTGACTGAAATTTTATGTAGAAATCGAGTTAAGTGTGCTTGTGGTTGGTTAAAAAAAAAAAAAGATTTTGGGGGCCTCCCTGGTGGTGCAGGGGTTAAGACGCAACCTATGAAGCTATCCGCAGCCACTGAAGCATGAGTTCGATCCCCAGCCAGGGAGCTACCCACATGGCGCAGCAGACCTCTCCTGACTCCCCCGCTGCTCCCCTCAGCAGTGTATTGTTCTGTTCCCTGCTCTGTCTCTGGTGAATCCTCTCACGCCCCCCCCCCCCACCCACCTGTGGCCTATACCCCAGTTCTTGTATGTGTAAATAAATAAATCTTTAAAAAAAAATTGTCAAACTTTTTCACAATGACAATAGAGTACTTAAAAAAAAAAAAGATTTTGTATTGAGATCAAAAAGGTAATAAACATAACATTTATTGAGCACTTTAAGTGCTAGGAACTGGGATAAATCCTTTACATGCTCTATCTTAACTCTAAAGCTAAGCTAGTGTAGCCACATAAAATTCAGGAATGTCCAGTGAAATCTGAATTTCAGATAAATGTGGAATAATATTTTAATATAAGAATGTTTCATTTGGGATGTAATTCTTGGTTGTTTTGTTTCCAAATCTGACAGTCTTATCCTAATTCTTATGAATTCCCATTTTACAGATAAGGAAACTGAGACTTAGGGAAAAAACCTGTCAAATATAAGGTAAGTGACAGACTAAGTCTCCATTTTACTATTATTATAATCCAGAAAATTGAATCTCTGATTATCTATATATATCCACATCTCCAAAAACCAGAATAATAACCCATCAAATGTGATGAATGAATTAAAAGGTATATGAAAAAGACTTGGACAGTAACTGATACAAAGTTTATGCTAATAGTTCATTTGCATCCTGAACAATGAACAACTGAATATTCCTATGTGAGCTGAGTATGAAACAAGCTGCCTAATTACAAAACAAGTCCAGCTCCTGACATTGTAGATACAGAAGAATTAAAGGCATCAGAATATGTAAAAACAAAATTGCAAGTGTTCAAACATTTCATTCCACAGATGAAAATGCTTCATTTATATGATTTGTCCAAAAAGATCTATTTAGTTCCATTTGTTTTTTACTACACTGGCCTAAAGGACCCCATAGTAAGAGACCACAATGCAAATGTACAATGTACATCAATGAACCAAATGTTATTTCACTTTCTCTCTTTGAAGCAACCATTGTTGCCCCCTCATGTGGACAAATTGAAGCAAGTTCCTAGAGGAGTACAACAGAAAGTGGGTAGAGGGAAGAAAGAAGGCACTATTGAGAGAATGTGGCTTCTGGAAATCCATAGCCTTCTTAGACCTGAGTCTTGTTTTATACTTGATATGTTGAACCTCAGTTTCTATTTTTCATTTAATCTATTTTAAAATCAGATGACCAAATGGTCCTCCTCAGTACTTAGAACAATCAGAATTTGAGAGCTGGAGGTTATATATGTATATTTCAGGGAGATGTCATCCCCTAGCCCAAGCTATCATGCATAAGAAAACAAATCCAGAAACGTTATGTAACTAATGCACAGTCAAATGAGGAATCTACTGCATCTTCATCCACTAAGTTCTCTCTGCTCTTTTTTTCTATTGATTGACTCACCCCAGAGAGACTGAGCACGTTTAAATAATCTTTGTGTGTGTGGCTCAGGTCTGTTAAGAAATCTGTCACACTCCTGAGTTTAGAGTGCATACATACTTACACTATACTTAGAGGCCATTTTAGAGGACTTTGCACACCTATCAAGAAAAAGCTGTGATTAAAAATAATGATGATTCAAAGTGAATAGCTTTTCTCGAAAGTTTATAAGCATAAAAACGCTACAAAATTGGAGCTTAACATTAGGAAAAGGAGGATCCAAGTCTCTTGTGAAGCTTGTATTCTTCTTTTTTCAAACAACTTTAAAGAAAAATATTCAATAGTAAACTTTACTGGAAAATATGCATTAGAAAATATGTTACTTAAAATGTCTTCATGTTTAGATTAAAAAATGAGAGGAACTCAAACATAGATATTTATATTTTAAGAGTTTATTGTATAATATGTATTAACAGACTTTTTGATCATGGATTAGTCTAACTATAACCAGTTTATTAATAAGAAATCTATACTGCAAGCCCCTTGAGGTCATTTCCTTTTCTTACATACCATGATTCTGTGGGTCAGAAATTTAGATAGTACACAAAGGGAATAGCTCATTGTCATCTGTGGGTGATATCTGCTGGGGCTGAGCCATCCCAGATAACTTCTTTTACTGTTGTGTCTGGCACCTCAGCTAGGATGGCTCTTATAGCTGGATGTGAACTAGAACACTTTCACTGAGATCCTGTGTTTGGAGCCTCACTGTTGATTGGGTTCTTTGGTTTTTGTAAAAGTAGTTTTAGGACTTCTCTAAATGGCCATGTTACGGAGCAGCCCTGATATAAAACGGGTTGCCTGGCTGTGGGTCCTCACCTGCGCGCTTAAAAAGGAACTTATTAATACTCCACTACAGGCACACACAAAAGGTTAATAAAAGATTTATTTACAAGGGGAAAGGAATTGAGGAAATGTACAACTCAGGGAGAAAATAGGGAAATTAAGTCTTTAATGTGTCCTACCCGATCCGCCGACATGGAAACCAAAAGGCACTCTCAGAGCTGGCCCCGGATTCGAGCTGGCGGGGAGCCAAAATGGGGAATCCCCAGAGCTCATGTGTCTGGTTTTATACCAAACCTGGCTGCTTAACCCCACCCTCAGGTTCCAGCAACCTGCCCTTTAGATCCCAGTGTCTTTTGGCTTTGGTCTGGAGTGGAAGCGAGTCCACAAAGCCTGTATGGAATTAGCTTTAGGACATCCTTTTCCCCCAACAGCCACTCCTTGTAGTCTTTTCAGGGGGATAGGCACACTTCTTAAACTCAAGGTTGGGGTCCCACCCAAGAGGATTAGAATTGGAATTAGCATATTGTCACTTCTGTCATATTCCATTAGAAAATGCAAATTACAGGCCCATCCCAGATTCAAGGGGCAGGAACTACAGAAGGACATAAATACTAGGAGGTATGATAAATCTGGCTACCAGTCAATGTAACCAGTTAGTGCAGATAGCCTGGACAAAAAATCAAAACTCAGCAACATGCTGTTTACAAGGGGTATACGTTGAAGACAAAAATGCAGAAAGATGAAACTAAAGAAATAGAATAAATTAAGCCATTCAATTCTACCAAAAGAAAGCTGGTATAGTTATATAAATACTAGATTAAACTCAGACAAAAAGGGCCTCCCTGGTGGCTCAAGGGGTTGAGTGCAGCACTATGAAGCTATCCACAGCCTCTGAAGCACGAGTTCAATCCCCCGGCCAGCCAGGGAGCTACCCATTTGGTGCAACAGACCTCTCCTGACTCACCTGCTGCTCCCCTCAGCAGAGTATTTCAGTCTCTCTGCCTGTTCTGTTCCCTACTCTGTCTCTGGTTAATCCTCTCTCTCACACACCCCCCGCCCCGCACCTCTGGCCTGTACCCCAGTTCTTGTATGCATAAATAAATAAATCTTTAAAAAAAAACCTCAGACAAAAAGCTCTAACTGAGATAAAGGGAGACAGACTTTTCATAATGATAAAGATTTAATTTGCCAGAAATATTTTTTAAAATTCTTCATTTATATTTCTCTAATAACGTGACCTCAATATACATGAAGCAAAAATTATAGAAATACAAGGAGAAATAAAAATTAATTTTTCTGGGAGATGTTAACATGCTCAATTACTGATAAAATAGGCAAAGTACTCAGTAAGAATATAGGTTTGAACAACACTATTAGTAAAGTTGACTGTAAAGGGAAATTGAGTATATATCTATAGTCCTTTGTATATGAACAAATTCATCAGTTCATATTTGTTTTGGCTCATGAAGCTAAAAGGACATCTAAGGATCCTGAGCCTTCAGGCTAGTTGGAACTTCTTCCTGTTATACTGATACATTTACTGTTGCATACCTTTTCATTTATTTAAATAAACATATTAAGTTCCTACTATGTATCAAGCCCTGTACTTAGCACAAAGATGAAAGCTACAGTTAAAATATCAAACAAACAAATCAGATAATACAATGTAGTGTGTTTAAATGAACACAATGTTATAGATCAATTAAAATAAAAATTTTTTAAAATACACTGTAGTAATGGAAGTACAGGGGTGGAATTTTACATAAGGAGCAATCGGAGCCAACTCCCAACAGCCATAGGAGATGGTGGTTGACAAAATTTGAAGAAAAGACTATGGCATAGAAATGGTAATGTGTGGTGGGGCCCACACCTAGCAAAGCATAGTTGTGGGGCCCACACTAGCAAAGCATAGTTGTGTGAGAGCATGAGTATTTAAGTCAGAGAATTGTCAGTCTACTTGGAATGTCTGAAGTATAAAAGGTTGCTTGAGTTGGGTGTTATCTGGTTGCAAGAAACAGAAATTCATGCCAGCTGGCTAAAGTGAAGGAGGAACAAATATAAAAATAGTCAGGGATTATGTGAGACAGAACTATGGGAAGCACAGTCAACATTACAAGAACCCTCCTTCTCTCTTCCTGTCATTATCTGGTCTCTATTCTTGACTTTTTATGTCTCTTTCATTCTCTCTACAATCTGGGTTCTCTGCTCACTTATCTGCTGTGTGGCCTGCTGTTCCAAAGAGTAGCCCTAGCTTTCCACCTCTGCCCACACCCAGTTTGCCAAACTATCCCATTTAGCAGCCCACAGTTACTACTTAACTCAGTCTCAGGGTCCCAATTCCAAATTCTCAGTAGCTGTCATCTGACTGGTCCTGTTTCAACATGCATGTAGATCAGGGGTCAGCAAACTATGATCTGGGCTGGATGTGGGAGGAACAAATCTGTCCTGCCTTCTGCTTTTGTAAATAACATTTGAACAGAGCCCAGGCACACACATTTATTTGCATATTGTTTATGTTATATTTCAATTATATCTCAATAAAAATAAAATTTAAAAATGCAGTTGTATTGTAATGCTTTGTCATTACAGGGACAGAGTAATTGCAACATAAAACCTGTAGACCAGAAATCAAAACTATTTACTATCCAAACCCTTGCAGAGAGTTCGCTGATCCCTGCAATTGACGTTCGGTGTGGAGATGTAGGGATTTGTAAAGGCTTTGGGGGTAAGCTCTGATAACAGAAACTCTGAGAATGGATAGCCCATCCCCCTTCTCTGTAGAAAAACAATAATGTGGGGAAAAGGCAGCTGAGGAAGTATTTTGAGGAAGGAACTAACTCTTTGAGGTTCTAACATAGGAAAAAAAATCATTCTCAAGTATGCACTAATTTTTTTTTTTTACTCAGAGAATGGAAGAGTGCAAGACAGTTACTCCTTAATCTGGAGAAGTTCATTAAGATGCTAAATTTAGGAGAGTGTGTCACTGTAACTACCTTTAAATACCTCACTTGTGGCAAATTTCCCAGACCCTCCGTAGTTAGCTCTTGCTGAGATGAACTGGCTGATGTATATAATGTTCACTCTATGTACAAAGACTTTTATTTATTTATTTTTATTTATTTTTTTTAAGATTTATTTATTTATTGATTGATTGATTTATACATACATACATACAGGCACTGGGTACAGTCAGAAGCGCGGGAGGGTGACAGAATTCACCAGAGCCAGAGCGGGGAGCAGAGCA